TCTTCAGCCAGGTGGGATTCACCACCCCAGGAGCTGGAGCAACCCACCCTTTACCAGCCTTGGGCACAGAGCCATGGTCAGGAAGTGACTTTGGTTTCCCTGCTTCCTCCCCAGGCAGGCCTGGTGCCTGTGGCTGGGTGAGGCACTATCTGACAGACCCAGCTCCGAAGAAGCAGCCGCAGGCACTGGGGACAGTGGGGGCTGCCTAGCACAGCCAACCAGTGGGGGGGTGGGGCGGGGGGGGGGCTGATGAATATGCAGATACAGGCCGGAGCTGGTTGGCTGCCCTTTGCCATATCCCATTCCCACCCCAACTCAGATGCGCAGAAGAGCCAGCTCAGAGAGGACCTTTTTGAAATGCCATCTCTTCTGCTGTTGCCTAAGGATCCACAGAGCCTCTTGAAATTTTGAGACTGAATTATCAAGCTTCTCCCATTACATAGCGCTCCTGACCTCTGCTTCCAGATTCTCCAGGGAATCAGCACCAAAGGGATCATCTTTCTCCCTGTCCCTCATCTTGAGGATACGGAAACCAGTCCAGCACCAAAAACATGGCATCTCAGCTCTGCAGGAAAGCTATGTGACTTCTCCCTCCAGCAGAAGTCTGGAAACCATTGGGGAGGTCATTTGCTGGGCCCAAAGCCCCCTTCTCTGGCAGAGCTGGGGAGAACTCACTGGCCAAATCACTTCCCCCGAACATCACTTGAATTTTAGCAACTTCTTCTTCAGTTTGGGAAGTAAAGTGAATGCTGTGAAACGCAGCAATGAAAATCGATGAGCTTAAAGCTCAATTCACCATGGATAAGTCCTGAAAACATAATGTTGAGTGAAAGACTTAAGTCACAGAATGATACAGGTACTGTGATTCTATTTATATTACATTTAAAAATAGGCCAAAATGTCTAAATATTTGCTGAGTACTTATCCATCCATTATTTTTAATTACAAATGAATGAAGAGATAGATGGATGAAATCTGGGTATCATGAGCAATACAAAGAGAATATAGGATATAGTCTCTATGGACCCCAGGCTCTAGCCCTGTCTACCATCTGGTAAATATTAGGAAAAATGTAAGAAATGATGTGAGTGTGTAGTTCAGGCCATACTTACGAATACTGGAGGATTTCAGTTAAAGAAAAACGAGTCTGTGTGTATTATTTAGGCTGAGCTGCCTTCTTTGTGGGGCTTTCCAAGTGGCACAGTGGTAAAGAATCTACCTGCTGATACAGGAGATGCAAGAGACATAGGTTCGATTGCAAAGACCCGACACAACTGAGCATGCACGCACATGTCCTCTCTGCGGTGTTTATTTTATTTTTAATTAACTGAGCCATTTATTCTTCCTAGAAGTATATATTTTTTCTTGTACAATTTGAAAGTAAATATGTCTTTTCCTCAGTTTAAAGAAGGGCCAAAAACATGTGTACAGTTTAGGACACATGCATACTGAAACTGCGATGAAAATGAGGAGATGGTTAACATACAGTCCAGTATAGCAGGGGTTAACTCTGGGATGACCAGCAAGGAGGGTCACACAGGGCTTTGTCATTTCTCAAGTTGCATGGTGAGTATGGGTATTCTTTTTATTCCTTTCCTTTAAATCACACACATGTATTTTATATGCCATTTTGAATATATATTTTACCATAAAAACTTAAAAATTTTATCACCCCTGCCATAATCACAAGTCTATGAACTTGTAGTCATCAACTCCTGTCCCAGTAGATGATGCTGTGTCTTGGGAGGCTTTAAATACAGAAGAAGGTGTAAGCTGATTGGGTTGGACCTTGGACTCCATGGAAGCTCATATGAGAATTTCAAGAAAATTAGTTTCAACCTTCATCCTGAGATAAACTTTGCATGTTACCACATATGTGTGTTATCTAATACTGTACCATGTAATTAACTTGGGTGATGATTGAAACTCCAGGAGAAATGCTTTGCCACATTGTCCAGGCCTGAGCTTCTAAACTGTCAATGAGAATCTCAAAAACCAATTGAAAACTGCAAAAATTAAGTAGCTATTAAGAAATATTAACAGCTACCCCTGGAAAAGATTGCCATGACTCCTGATTACTGTTTTTGGATTCTTCAGCTGTAACCATCAGTGTTGTCAGCATGGCAGTATGTATTCATTCTACTTGTATTTATTGAGTACCTATGGAATACCAGAGACTGCATCCTGTGCAGAGCATTCAGGAAAACAGAGTCAACTCTTTCCTCCTGCTACTCTGCCCAGTAGAGGAGACAGGTAAAAATGACATTACAATGCAATGTAGTGATACAGGCACATGCTTTGGAAAAACAGAAAAGATATAATTCTGCTACATGGGATTGGAAGGGATTCAAAAGGTATTTAGAGGATGATTAGGAGTGCCTAATCAGGAGTTGGGAACAGCCCAGGCAAAGATTCGGAAGGAGTGAAATAAGTAAAGCTACTAAAGCTCAGCACCTGTGAGAATGGGGATGGGCAAGTAGGGAGCAGATTACAGTATAGCCAGAGGCCAGATTGTCAGGTGAAACTGAAGAGTTTGGACTTTATCCCACTGATAGGGAGAAGCAATCTAAGGACTTTATGCATGGGAGTGACAGGATTAGATTTGCATTTCAAAGACATCTTTGACACAGGTGTGGAGAATGAGTTAAGAGAGTTTGGGAGTGGCCCCCTGGGTCCTTTCAGGAAGCTTTTTTTTTTTTTTTTTTTTCAGGAAGCTTTTTAAAATAATCCTGGTGAAGGATGCTGAGGACTTGATCAGGGGCAGTGACAGGGCAAAGATGTTTTCTCTATTTCAAGTTAGGGCTTCTGCTCACCCCTCCAGAATTCCAGGGGAAGTGCTTTCAGGGTTTGAGTCATTGAAGGCACCAGAAAGTTCCCAAGGACCAGGCAAGAGGACTCAACGAAAGAAACCAACATGAGTAGGCACCAAGCGGCTCATTCATTCATTCTTAATTCAAGCAGAAGCCTATAGAACACCTTTTCTATTAGGAAAGTGAACTATGAAAGTGAATACTCAGGAGCTTGGGGCTTTAAGGTGAGGGGGAGCTAAAGAATAGAGGGAGTGCCATGTGCTTTCACTTTGAAGCAGGGTAGTCCAATTCAGCCCAGAATTTTTTACTGCACATCTAAACTATGACAATCTCTGTTCTAAGTGCTGGGGATACATTATACTTCAAAAACAAACAAACATATAGAGAAAGAAGTCTGACTGGGGTTACCAGAAGAAGGGGAATTGGATGAAGGTATAAACTTCCAGTTATAAGTAAGTACTAGGGAGGTAATGTACAACATGATAAATTATGTTGTATGTTATTAATATATATGAATGTTTTTATCTTTTTTCTTTTGCTTTTCTTTTCTTTCTTTCTTTATTTTTATATGAATGTTTTAAAGAGCATAACTGCTAAGAGTTCTCATCACAAGAAAAACATTTTAAAAAAATTTCTTTAATTTTGTACCTATGAGATGATTTGTTGTTCAGTTGCCAAGTCATGTCCGACTCCTGGAGATACCATGGACTGCAGCACGCCAGACTTCCCTGTCCTTCACTATTTCCCGAAGTTTGCTCAAACTCATGTCCATTGAGTCAGTGGTGCTATCTAACCATCTCATCCTCTGCTGCCCTCTTCTCCTCCTGCCCTTAATCTTTCCAGCATCAGAGTCTTTCCCAATGAGTCGGCTCTTCACACCAGGTGTCCAAAGTATTGGAGCTTCAGCATCAGTCATTCCAAAGAATATTTGGTGTTGATTTCCTTTAGGATTGACTGGTTTGATCTTGCAGTCCCAGGGTCTCTCAACAGTCTTCTTCAGCACCACAGTTGGAGAGCCTCAGCTCTCCTTATGGTCCAACTCCCACAACTGTACATGACTCCTGGAAAAACCATAGCATTAACTAGGTGGACCTTGATCCTCAAAGCGATGTCTCTGCTTTCCAATATGCTGTCTAGGTTTGTCATCGCTTTTCTTCCAAGGAGCAAGTGTCTTTTAATTTCATGGCTGCAATCACCGTCTGCAGTGACTTTGGAGACTTTATTAAGTCTGTCACAGTTTCCATTTTTTCCCCATCTACTTGCCATGACGTGAAAGGAATGGATTGACAAGATCTTAGTTTTTTGAATGCTGAGATGATGCTCACTAAACTTTTTGTGATAATCACTTCATGAGATGCATAAAACAAGTTACGCTCTTAAATTTATACAGTGCTACAAGTCAATAATATTTCAACAAAAACTGTAATTTTAATAAATGGCCGGATATACAAGAAGTGAACAAGATAGACCAGGTTCCTAAATCTCATGGAGTTTATTTTCTAGGGGTAGAATGACAAATGAACAGTCTCCAAAACGCGCAAGAGGTATGGGGAACAACCAGCTCGGCTGGAGAGAGTTTGAGCAGGGACGATGAGGAGATAAGGATGCAGAAGGAGGCTTGTTGAATATCTTCAGGTCAGTTAAAGGGCAACGGGAGCCCTTTAGAGGTTCCTCGGTGTTCCGTTTCTTTGTTCCGGGAAGTGATTCCCGCCCCCCGCCCCCCCATCTTTGAGGAACCTGAGGCTTAGGGAAGCAACGTCACCTGCCCAAGGCCACACGAAGTGTTAAGATCGCACGTGCACGTCAGCCAAGGTCCGAGTCGGAAGAAGCCCACGCCGCCTTCTGCTTTTTTTCCCCCGGGAATGTGGGGGAAGAATGGCGCGGTGTCCTGGGTGGGGTGGGGGTTGTCCCAAGGGAGATGGGCGCCGAGTTTATCCGAACGCTCCGCGGGGAGATACGGGGAAGAGGGGACCCCGGGGCGGGGCGATCTGTCGCCGGAAGGTTTCAGGAGCCTTCGGGAGGCCCAGCCTGAGGTACAGCGCCCCCCCCCGTCCCGCCCGGCAGTGGTTCGGTCCCGACACCCTTTCCCACCCCCCCCTCCCCGCGCAGCGGGTGCCGCGGCCCGACCCGCTTCCGGTTGCTGCCGGGCCCAATATCCGGTGTCCGCCCGCCCTCGGCTCCGCTGCCGTGATGCTGTCCCTGTCCCGCTGCGCGTCCCGGGCGTTCAGCCGCTCGCTCTCCGCCTTCCAGAAGGTACGGTCCGACGGAGCCGGGACCCCCGGCGGGTGAGAAAGTCGCCGGCGGGCAGACGGGGGTGGGGTGGGGACGACAAGGGGCGTGGCGCGCCGGCCAGGCCGGGCACCAAGGGCACCGGGACGCGGAGGCCGCCGCCGCGGTGCTGGGCGGCCCGGAGCCGCTGTCGCCTCCCCGGCCGTCTTGTGGAGCCCAGCGGCCGGGCGCCTTTCCCGCGGCCGCCGGCGCCGCGGCCCCTGCCGGACCCCACCCTCCGTCCGCGCGGGCGGAGGAGCCGCCCAGAGCCGCGCCCGCCCGGGCACTAGACTCTATTAGAGCTCGGGGGGAGGCGCCGCGGAAGCCCCCGACTGGATCCGGGGACCTCTTTTCTTCTCTGTTAAAAAGCCAGTGGGTTATCACTCCGTGGGGGAAGGTTGAGATAGTCTGGCAGGCCAGGCGTCCCGCCCGCGTTGTTGCTGTTGCCTTTGCCTTTGGGAGGAGGCCTGAGGTTCACCTGTCAGCAGTCCCAGGGGCAGCTTTAAGTTTGTACTTGAAAAAGCTGTTTCTTTCCTCACTTTTCGTCTCGGGTGACCGACGTCTTCTTTCTCAACAGGGGAACTGCCCTCTAGGGAGACGTTCCCTGCCCGGTAAGTTCTGCCCTTTTGCCGTCCCCTAAAAATGTTCTCTCCTCCTGGGCAGAGCCGCGTGTGAGGAAATCGGGTGCCTGTGTTTCTCCGCCTCGTGTTCAGAGAGAGAGAGAGAGAGAGAGGAGCAAAACAAAACACTCTTATCTATTAAAAAAAAAATTACTGATTTATTTGGCTGCACCGGGTCTTAGTTGAGGCATTTGGGAATCTAGTTCCCCGACCAGGGATGGAACGGGGATTCCCCACCCCCACCCCCCACCTCCGCTGCATTGATTGGAAGTGCCGAGTCCTAGCCACTGGAAGCCACCCCAAATGCTATTTAGTAACAGCTGCCGTTTGTTCATTTAGCACATAGTTACTCAGTATCTACTCAGTGTCAGGCACTTCTGCTGCTAGGCACTCACAAGGGATACAGCACTGAAGTGGTGGGGCGGGGGCGGTTTCTCACCCTCCGGGAACTTAGAGCCTAGTTAGGGAAAGACAATAGGTAAATTGCTCAACAAATGGACTATCATGAATGCTGAAAAGGAAACAAATGAAGCTGGACACTGAAGCTGTGACCCAGAGGATGTGACAGGAGCCATCCAGATGAAGAGCAGGAGAAGGGAAGGGAATGGCATGTGTAAAGTCCCTGAGGAAGGAAAGCTCTTGTCAATATTTTGGAACTAGCAAAAGAGGTGATTTGGCCAGAATATTTTGGTTGAGGGAGAGAGTGGCATGAGATAGAAGATGGCAGAGAGATGAGTGGAAAGAATTCAGGTTTTTATCCCAATGGTTTTTTATATGCCTGGCATAAATATTCATTGAATGAGTTGATTTTCTTATGGGCATTCTATCTGCTAAGTATTGTTCTGAGTGCTTTCTGTGCCTTTTTTCAGTTACTCATCAAGAAACAGTAAAATAATTATTTTCTCTATTTTACAAATGTATGACTCAAGGCTAAGAGAGGTTAAGTGCCTTGACCAAGGTCACTCTGCCAACTGTTGGTCAAGCCAGGTCTGCTCCTCAGCCTGAACTCCTAACCCATCATATTATCATTTACTCATAATGAATAGATTATTTGTTGAATTCTCACTCTATGCCAGACACTATGCTAGGTGGCAGGGATAGAGGTGGTCTCTACCCTCCAGGCGGAGAAGGCAGTGGCGCCCCACTCCAGTACTCTTGCCTGGAAAATCCCATGGATGGAGGAGCCTGGTGGGCTGCGGTCCATGGGGTCCTAAGAGTTGGACACGACTGAGCGACTTCACTTTCACTTTTCACTGTCATGCATTGGAGAAGGAAATGACAACCCACTCCAGTGTTCTTGCCTGGAGAATCCCAGGGACGGGGTAGCCTGATGGGCTGCCGTCTATGGGGTCGCACAGAGTTGGGCATGACTGAAGTGACTTAGCAGCAGCAGCAGCTACCCTCCAGGAGGGTACATAAGTACCCTTACTTACATAAGTACATAGTTACATTGTGATTACTGTGAAAGACAAGTAGAGGGTGGGCTGATAAAGCCAGGCTTGGGAGGGTGGAGAGTGAGGTGGCACCATCAGTAAAGGCTTCCCCAGAGAAGTGACATTTATGCCAAGTCTTGAAGAATGTATAGGAGTTGGCCAAGAGAACGATATTCTAGGCACAGGGAATTGCTTATGCTAAGTTTTCAGACCGGAAGAGGCATGGCCAGTCATAGAGATGGAAAGGAAGCTTGTCTGGAAGGGCTGGACAGGAATGTGTAGTTTTTGGACTTTATCCTTAGAGTCATGAGATCATAAGCACCTAGCACAATGTTAGCTCATTGGGGATTCTCAGTAATAAACTCTTTAACTTGGAATTTTGAAAAATGTCAGTAAACATTTTCTCCATTTTATAGACTGGCAGAACAATGGGAAGAGCCTTGTTCTTGCCATTTGTGTTGTGATTCAGGGCTTCTCCTTGGGCTAGCCACTTAACCTCCAAAAGCCCTACTTATATATGAAATGAGAATAATGGCAATGGTCATTCCACTTCAGGGAGTGTGAGATGAAAATCAAAATAAGGTCATTACGTGAAAGCTTTTTATAAATTCTAAAGCACTGTACAAATGAAACTTGCTGTAGGATAAACTCTAAAGTGGACTTAGAGTTCCAAAAATCAGTATGGGCTGCTTGCTGGCTGCAAGCTCATACATGCTGTGTTTGGGATTTGTACTATAGTCGTTGGCTATTGGACATCAAGAGGTGACTTACTTAACTGAAACCTTGAGGATGTTTGTGGGAAGCTGGGACAAGAGAGAATTGTCTTCCAGTTGGTATTTCCTGTGCTTATGGTTCAGATAGAGCTGTTTTTTGATCTGAAAAAAACAAGACACATGAAAGAATAAAATCTGGTGAAGCAGATAGAGCAGTTGTCTGTTGTGGCAGTGTGGTTATTTGTAATAAGGACAATTGGTGGGGCAGAAAGAAGCTCTCACCTTGTTAAGTGTGACCAGAAGGGAAGGTCTCGGCAAGAGTGGGAGGCAGTGATTGGAAAGGAGGTGTAGTAGTTTGAGCAAGCCGAAGACCTTGGGCCTGAAGGAGCCTAGTCTTTGTTGTTGGGATTCAGGGCAACAAGACTTCCAGCTCAGTGCATTTTAAGTAACCAGGGAAACAAACTCGGACCAAACGTTCCACTGCTTCTCTGACTAGCCTGTGTATAGTCATAGGATAAGCTCTCATGTGTCTCTTTCAGGCTTCAATTGTATTTGAAAACTTGGGAAATAGAGGCATTCTATTGTGAAAACATACAGGGATAATGAAAGTTTATGAATTTTGAGATACATAAGATTATAGAATTCTCCCCTTTCTTTCTCAAACCCATTCCCCACAGTTGCACATACCTGTTGTTTTCTGCCATTACAATTACTGTGGTGGAAAAGTTTAAGAGGCAGGACTCTGTGATGTAGATTATATTATTGCCTGCTGTTGATCCTGCTGTATCTCAGAGTTAGGGGGTGAACAACTTCTCCATTCCCAGCAGGTATCCTGTATGAGATAAAGAGTTGTTGGTTAAGAGTTGTTTTGTTTCTTGCAGGGATCTCCTTATGTCAGGGACCAGGTTACCCTGACAGCAGGAAGACTGTGTAAGTATCACTGGGGAGCACAGATATGTGGACCCGGGGTATTGAAGACACCAGTTTGACCATCTGCTTTCTTTCCTGTCTTTCAAGCCTAGTAATCAAGCTGGTTATATTGAGTCCCTTGACCTGACCTTGATGTTAATTTATGTTATGAGCCTGAGCTTCAGCCCCATGTGAAGTATTGGACCAGGAGTGTGTCAGGACCAGGTGTTCAGATTATAATGAAAGTGAAGCTGGAATCCTCTTTTTATGGGAATAGATAGAAGGGTGCTCCTAAATATTCTGGCTGGATACAAGTGAAGCTGAAGGACTGGAGGTTACATTTATTGTGGAGATCAAGAGCATGCAACTTCCCTGGTGGCTCAGATGGTAAAAGCATCTGCCTACAATGAGGGAGACTCAGGTTCGATCCCTGGGTCGGGAACATCCCTTGGAGAAGGAAATGGCAACCCACTTCAGTACTCTTGCCTGGAAAATCCCATGGATGGAGAAACCTGGTAGGCTGCAATCCATGGGGTCACAAAGAGTTGGACACGACTGAGCGACTTCACTTTCTTTCACTTTTGGTTGCATAGTTAATGCATTTTAGAAACTGTAAAAGCAAGAGATTAGTCATTTAAGTCCTGGGACTTTGACTAGTGTAGAGGGAATGAATGCTACTATTGCATAATGCAAAATTTGGAGAGAGGCCACCCATGTGTGTTTCAGATTAACTTCTGCTTATGAACGTTGCTTAATGCTACTTTGCATTCCAAGTATTTTCAGGGTGGTAGTAAGAGGACGCTTTTTAGTTTCCTGTTGAACAGCTGTCAAGCTATTTTTCTCTATAGGTAGAATCTTCAAAATGAAGGGTCAGCAGATTTCTCCTTCTTCACTGTGCATTACAATGGCAATTTGGCATTCCTAAGTCTTTGAACTAGGTGTACCTTTTGATCTAGCAATCCCACTTCTAGGAATCTGTACTGAGCTCCTAGTGTACCTGTATTTCTCAGAATGGTCAGACAACAGTGGATTGGTTAGGCTATGTTATGTTATGTGTTCATTCTATAAGTGGGAAAAAGCGGGTTATAAAATTATTCCTTTTGTATTGTATGGTATAGTCCCATTGTAAATGTTCTTTTTGCTGTAAGTTTTCTACTGTTAACATCTAATACTTTTGTAAGTTAAAAATAATTTAGGGAGAGTCAAAGTGTGTTTCTCATCTACAGTTTAAATGAAAATTAGAGCAACCACAAATCCTATGCAATAAATACAACAAATAACTCTTTGAAAGTAAATTATTTTAAAAAACTCCTAAACTTAGAGTGTTGAGGATCACAGATTAGGGAATTTAATCTAGTAACTGTTTCTGTATTGTATATTGTCTTTTTTCTGTGAATAAGGTACCCGTTTTACTTAAAAATCTTTTATTGTAAAAATATGTTTGGTTTTATGTTTTTATTTAATAGGCTACACATTTACATGGTTCAAAAGTAAAAAGAGTGTCCGTGAGAAGAGTTTATCCTGTGCTACTACATTCCTCTTCCCAGAGACAGCCTGTGTGCTGGGTTCTGGGTGTCCTCGGAGAGCAGTCTGCATTGACACGTTACCCAGTAGTTCTTGCCCATGAACATGTACCTATACATGGTTGGAAACTTTTATGCAGAACACTTTGTGTTCTGTATTTTTTTAATAACACATATTTTCCCTTGATTTTACATAGAACTTAAACATACCAAAGGCAACTTAAATCTATTTCACTTTTTATTGTAAAGGTGCTTGTTGTAGAATATTTAGACAGTCCTGAAACTGTAGAAAGTGAAAGTTCCCATCAGTCCAAATCGCTCTTCCAAAATGTGTGTGTATGTGGCAGATAACCACAGATACCATATATATCAACATTTCCCACTCTCCAGTGGTAACCACGGTTCATGGTTTTGTGCATACAAAGTCATATCATTCTCCAGGTTACATTATTTCAAGTTAGTGTCATATCAGAGAATACCTTGCTCTTTTGAGGTTCCTCTTCAATGAGTCCAGAGTGGACTGATGTGCTGCCTTCTGGCAGAACGGGAGATTGTGAGGTTTTCAGTGGGTTTTTTGTTTGTTTTACATATAACACCTTGTTTTACTTTCATCTTGCTGTCTTATCTAAATCTGTAATCACATAGACAGAAATTCTGTTTTACTTGGCATAGTGGCATGTACCCTGAAGGCACACAGTTTTATCTTACTGGGATTTAGTTAAGAAAAAACCTAATCAAGAAGCTGAGTCCTTTTGTGGTTATGCAAAGGACCAAGACACTGTCTTTTTCTTCAGAGATGCAAATGTAAGTCTGTTAAGTCTGTTCTGGCATTTCACTGCAGCACATTTCACTCACCCAAGGGCCTGCTACTTAAGGCACCCAGGTCATTCAGGCTTTACTCTAGACCTGCTGAGTCACGGTCTCTGGAAATGGGGCCTAGATAGGTATGCTTTGAAAAAGTTGCCCAGGTAACAGTGATGGGCGCTGCTAGTCAAGAATCACTGGTTTGAAGGGAAGGTGAAAGACTCTAGAAAAGAATGGATGTTTGTATAACTGGCTCCCTTTGCTGTCGAGCAGAAACTAGCACAACATTGAAAGTCAACTGTGCTCCAGTAAAGCTCAATTAAAATAAAAAACAAAGGGGAGGTGATCCGCCATGCCTTATCTAGACTAAAATGTGAGTGATTCGCCTGTTAAAGGAGTTTATTTTTATGTTTGTTTTGTAGCATTAACAGCAGTAATATCTTCAGCGTTCGCTTCTTTAGAACTACAGCTGTGTGCAGTAAGTACCTTCAGCTCCCTCCGTTCTTGGGAATGGAATTTTAATGAGAAGAATAACAATTGACTGAATTTAATGGCAGAAAAAGAAAGGAGAGATACCAACTGCGTGATTTTCCCCCCCCTCTTTTCCTAGAGGATGATGTGATTACAGTCAAAACCCCAGCGTTTGCAGAATCTGTCACAGAGGGGGATGTCAGGTGGGAGAAAGGTAAGATCTGCTACCTTCTCACTTCTTAAATTTAAATACTTCTGAAAAGTCCCCTTTACTCCCCTCACCTCCATGATAATCAGTGGAACCTATGGCTCCACCCTTTTCTTTACATGCAGTGTACTTTCCCCTGGCCTGTAGGAAAGGGGTCCTGTAACACCTGCCAAAGGGGATTTTATGGCTACTTTTCTTGTTACCCACTGCTCACCCCTAACAGGTAGCCTTTGACTGTCTTTTCAGCTGTTGGAGACACAGTTGCAGAAGATGAAGTGGTTTGTGAGATTGAAACTGACAAGGTAGGCTTGGCCTATTGGTGCCATCTTTCCATGGTCTCCCCTTGGTTTCTCAGCCTAATGAGAGGAACAGGGGCTTAGTTGTTGTTTGAAGATAATTTTTAGCTGCCTCAGTTGTAAAATTGTTGGAATAGCTCAGTGAAAAGAAAAAAAAAAAACACTTAAAGTTTAGTTTTAGATTGTTCTAGGTGTATGTACTATGTACTTTAGTAGCTTTAGTTTTATAGCTTGTGTGTGTGTATACATGAACTGTTTTCAGTTGTTTTTTATGTATTACTTGGAAATACACTAGCTGAATCCTGCTTTAATGTTTCTGAGAAAGGATAGACAAGGTGAATCTTCACAGTAGCATTGATTGCTCTTATTCTGAAAGTGTGGCCTTGATGTTTATGCGGGGTCTTGTATATCTGTGTTGCAACTCTTGTGACTTATTTGAGATTCTATACAATTAATTTTCTAATGCTGAGTAAAAATTTGAACTCTTTCTCCATCTGTCTTCCTTTTGAAGACCTCTGTGCAGGTTCCATCACCAGCAAATGGCGTGATTGAAGCTCTTTTGGTACCTGATGGGGGAAAAGTAGAAGGAGGCACTCCTCTTTTCACACTCAGGAAAACTGGCGGTAAAGAAGTTCTCCTGGTTGTCAAGGTCTCCAGTGTTCCCCCTTGGAATTGGGGCTGAGCATAATATACTAATTCCTTGATACATCAAATACCATTTTGCACTCCCACTGCCTTTAGTGAGGCAGTAAGAGGAGATATATATATATATGTGTGTGTGTATGTGTGTGTGTATATATATATATATATATATATATATATATAGTGTGAACTTTAAATGTCAAGTTTTAGAAGAAAAGGGTATTAAGAAAATAAATCTCACAATAGTGTTCTTTCTGGTGCTTGACCTTTTCTTAAATAGGAAGGAAGAAGATTCTAGAGATAATTTTTTTTTTTCCTGTCCCCTCCCCCCACCCTGGCAGCAGAGTCTCATGGGGACTTTAAAAATAATACAAATACCCAGATTCTGAGGCCAAGGGATTCTGATATATTAAATTTGGGGTTTTCAGATCCTGGTTATCTATCATAGTTTTTGTTACTGTCTTTAACACTTTCCAAGTGATTCTGATACATAGCCAGGGCTGGGAGCCACTATTCTAAAGTGAGAAGAAGCAGTGTTTCATCATGTCTATTATGGAGAATTTTGGACTAGTTTTTCCACATCTGTTCTGTCACAACATTTTTTAGGGAGGGTTGAATTTTTCTTGGGAAGAAATGAGGAATAAGGAAATGAATTTATTTTGGATCTTATAGTCAGTATTAGAGATTAGGAAAGAAAACTTTTGATTTTTAGTTAAGTGCTATAACTACTAAAGTCTATTTCATGGTTAAGATAGTTAAGCAGAAAGATGGTAGATGGCATCATTATGTTCGATCAAAATAAGATCAGAAGCCAAGAATGGAAAGAACATACAGTAGAAGACTAGGGAATAAGATTGATTCTTCTAGTTGGAGAATTTCACCTTCTGACCATTTCTTAGAGGATGTTCTTCTGATTTAAATATAAACCCAGATGGTGATCTCCAAATGGGTAAAATAAAAAGATATTTAAAGTTGTGAATTTCATTGCTTGACCACCTCATTAGTTTCTGAGAGTTACTCTAGATAAAATGCTTTGAACTCTTAAGTCTAAATGTGTCCTTGATTATTTAAGCGTTTATTTTTTAATAGTTAAGAGAGTTCTTCCACATGTGATGTTAAAATAGGAGACACAGGAGACAATCAGTATTACTGTAACTGGAAAGTTGTTTCTTTTATTTGTGTGTTTCAACATCTTAAATTGCTGGGTTTCTTTTGCTTTGAAGTCTATTACCATTGACTTAGGTGCTTTGAAAGTATTGGCTGAACTTGATGACTAATAGATATTTATGCAATCAGGAAGGCAGCTGAATTCAGTCAGTTATCTAATGTAGGACATCTAGGAGTCCTGGAGAAAGAACAGTGCTTTAAATCACTCTGTGTATCTCATAGCCTTACACGTATAGCAGGTACTCAGGAAGCATTTGTTAATTGATGAGAGAGAGAGCTTTTGCTGTTAAATTCTACTTAGTATCTGCAGTTTGGTTGCTTTCTGTTCCACATAGTGCCAATGGCATCTATTTTTCTTGTTTTCCAGCTGCTCCTGCTAAGGCCAAGCCAGCCGCAGCCCCTGCTGCCGCAGCCCCAAAAGCAGAACCCGCAGTGTCTGCAGTTCCTCCTCCCCCTGCAGCATCTGTACCCACCCAGATGCCACCTGTGCCCTCACCCTCACAGCCTCTCACTAGCAAGCCAGGTAAGCCTCTGCCTCCCATGTGTCTTTCTATGGCAGAACATCTCACCTAATGTCATGTTCCCTCGGAGGGCAAAGTCTAAGACTAATTATGGCTCTGGACAGGCTTCATTGGCTGTGTTGTAGAAGAAACTCTAGACTTTGTATCAGAAGACCTGAGTTTGCATCGCAGCTTCCTGTGTATAGCTGTGTGACCTTAGACTAGTTATTTAACTTCTCTGACCAGATTGTTCATTTGTGAAGTAGGAATGATACTAATATATCTCAGCATACCTTGAAGATTAAATGACAAGTGCAGTGTGAAAGCATGGGCATATATTCAAGTAAATGTTTCTCATTTTCTGATTCAGTGTACCCTCTCTTCATTTACAGTGTCTGCTGTAAAACCCACTGCTGCCCCTCCAAGAGCTGAGGCAGGAGCTGGTATAGGTCTGCGTTCAGAACATCGGGTAAGCCTCTAAGGACCACTTCCAAGAAAGAAGCTGAGGAGCACTGTTGAGATTAATAAAATATGGGTATGCTCTGCCTGCCTTTGAGTGGCCGGCAGCTGATTCCCTTGGCCTGGCAAGGAAATTCAGTTTAGGAAGTGACTTGTTCATTCACATGACTGTCAAATGATAAGACTAGAATTGGAGGTCTTCTGAACACTTGTCCATTGGTTTTTTTCCCACTCTGTCATGCTACCACTGAAGTGCTGTGGGTGAGAAAGGTATATGCAGGGGATGGTAGCCTAGTAACACTTCTCCTCCCACCCACACTTCAGAGAGGTGGTTTAGTGAGCTCTATTCCTGTTCTTCCGGGATGCTTAGCTGAGGTCTGCCCAGTGGCAGTCAGGGGCAGGCATAAAACCTCAAGGAAGTATGGTCAAGAGTGTGGGTTCCTCTGCCTGAGAATACCTCCTAAAAATATGATAGCCTGAAAAATGTGTTGCTTCTGAGTTTCCATTCCACAAGTAGCTACTCTCATGCAAGTCTTTATCACCAGAAATTGCATTGTCTATAATGACTCTTGGGCTGGCTTGCCCTACACCACACTCTTCCTTTCCATAAATTGGTTTTGGTTTATAAACCAAACCATTTCCTGGGCCTCTATTCTTCATCAGACTTCAGGGCACATCCGAGTGAATAGTTTTTGTCTGTGTTTCCTTGTTCTCGCTCAGAGGAGCAAGCCACCACAGGAAAGAGGAGCCTGGATCTCTTCCTGTATTTAGATACTACGGTCCTTAATTATCCCCTTCTATCATGCCCATGCTCCTGCAGACTAAGTGGGAGGGCTAGGCCCAAAGACACCAGGTTGGCAATACTTGTCCCACTCTCCCTTTCAGGAGAAAATGAACAGGATGCGGCAGCGCATCGCTCAGCGTCTGAAGGAGGCTCAGAACACCTGTGCGATGCTCACCACTTTCAATGAGATTGACATGAGGTGAGAGATTTAGTCCTGCTCCCTGTGCTCTTTTTCTTGCAAAACTCTTGAACTTGCCCAAAACTAACTTAACAGAAAAGAAGTACTTCTTTGCACTATTTCTTGAGTGACCCACTGGTTTCATTCTCTGATTGACTTTCCTAATACTATGCCTGCCTCCTCTGTGACTTAAAAAACTTAGCCTTGTAGATTTATACCTGAATCTTGTGATTTCTGATAAATGAGGCTGGTAATAGTCTTAAACTCTAATGGCCACTGTTAACAAGTAGAGACAGGGGAGCCAGGCCAACAAGGCTCCCCTTCAGCATGGAGAATCATTTGACACCATGCCCAGAGTCAGGGGGCCATACCCTGCTTCCTTCTCACTGTGACTGCTGCTTATGTGTGTTCCTAAGCCACTCAGGATTGAGTGGGTAGAAAGGCATAGGCTTTTCATATCTTTCACCTTTCTCAACTTCGATAATGAAATGGGAAGCAAGTTTTGCTTTTAAAGAAAAAAACCTCAGAATATTAACCAAAGGGGCTGATTCAGTATGCTCCTTTCTATAGTGAGCTAGTTGTTGACTCACTTTTCTTCTCGAAGACTTTGTTTACAGGTGTAGGGAAGAGAATGTAGTTAGAGTCAACAGATGGTTTTTGATTGCTTACTGTGTACAAGATACTACACTATATTTTGGTGGGATGCAAAGATGAGTGATAACCCTTAGCCTGGAGCTACCATCTTGTTGGATAAATGCAAAGTAAAATGTAGAAAAACAAGTATCAGAAACATAAAAAGTATGAGGTGGAGAAGATGAGATTGTTTGTTTTTGAGGTGGAGGAAGGAGTCCGGAAAGGCTTCCTGGAGAAAGAGATCTTTAAGGGGCCTTAACGATTCACATTTTGGCATAATGGAGGAAGGTCATTGCAGAAGATGTTAACAATATGGACCTGGCACAGATAGGAAAGTACAGGACACATCTGAGAGACAATCACTGTGAGGAAGATGTGTAGGAAATTTCAGAATGTTTTAAGGGCCAGGGTAAGAGTTCATATATAATACAGGAAGTAAAATTATCAAGTCTTTAGTCATCTCGCTGCTTCTTTTTATCCCAAGTGCTTAGTCTGCTAATCTGCATTTCACTAGGGTAAATGGTTTTCTTTGGAAAGGGTCTGAAAAGTGTAGAGAGGGAGATGGTTTAGTGACAGCGTGCTGTGGCATTGTTCACAGAGTAGGGTTCTGTGGTTCATTTCACTGGATGTCATCTATTCTATTGTGAAGCTTCCCCAAAAGACTAGATGTCATCCAAGCCAAAGATTTCTCTTGTATCCATAGGATGTAGGGAAGGACCTTGACTAATGAATCACAAAGGCTGCAGCTTATGTTTCAGTGCATTAGGGCCAAATTGTACACAAATTGAATTGGATTTTGAAATTCTACCCAATTCCTTAAGACAAAACATGTAAATATTTGTGGCCTTGAAAGATGCAGTTGGCCCAACAGCTTTGATTGGAAAGTAAGTACAGTAGTTGGATCTGCTTTCAGCAGCTAATCTAAGTGTCACTTAATGATGGCCTGGGGTCCCTCTGCAGTCAGTAATCTGGTTTGGATTGAGTGCCCTTTAGGTCTTGTGCTGATCAGCTAACCCATAAGGGGCCTTTCTGAGACCTCCTCCTCTCCCCTGTTGTCCCAGCCTCTGCCTCCAAGGACAGAACTCTGAAATAGAAACTACTTAATGACCAGACAATAGCATTTGGGCAGTTTTGAGAGCAGAGATGTTTATCGCTTCTCTTTCCCTCTTCTGCAGCTCTTGTGTCTTGGGAACCAGTAATGTCTTTAGGGTGGTAATCCTAGCACTAAATGTAGTTAGACTCAGGAAAACAAACATTTTAAACCCAATCAGTCCCCCTAGGAAAACTTCCGTTTTAAAAAACAAGAGGTCTAAAGAGGGGAGTTAAAGTTATACCATCTTACCTTTCATGCTAATGTCACATTAAGCCATTACAGGGAGAAAGAGAAAACTGAGCATTTGGGCCTGAGATAAAGTTAAATTCGATTTCCATCACGGAACTGTCTTCCCATAAATACGGAGATTTCTGCAACAAAATGATGGGAAAGCCATTTCCTGCTAACTCTAGTACATGTGTTGTATGTTTGTGAAAAACCAGCCCCAAAAGAACAAAAATTGGTCACGCTGCAAAGGTTTCCCAGTAGCCTTGCTGCTTATACTTTAAAAAGCTTAGGTCCACACATGGTCACTTTTCTAAATACCAAGGAAACTATGTCCATTAAATTAATTTTAAGGTCAAGAACTGTGTATTATCTTTATGTCTTGGTGCCTTGCATTGACCACCATGTGTGGTGGGTGTTAGTGCCCATTTGAAGGAACCAAGCAGATGGAACTGCTCACTCTGGGAGATGCTTGAATATACTGACTTCCACATGAGCCTAACACAACACTGGATTATATCTATCCATAGGTAGTCAAGACTGCTTTTGTTCAAATGAAACCTGTGTGGTTTGGGGATTTTTTTGTTTTCATTTATTAGAAATGTCACAAGGAAGTCATAATTAGGTTTGGTGGTATTTTGAAAATAAACAAGAAATATTTAGTGAAAAAGTTAGTCACTCAGTCATGTCCAACTCTTTGTGACCCCAAGGACTGTAGCTTGCCAGTCTCCTCTGTCCATGGACTTCTCCAGGCAAGAGTACTGGAGTGGGTTGTCATGCCCTTATCCAGGGGATCTTCTCAACTGAAGGATTGAACTTGGGTCTCCTGAATTGCAGGCAGATTCTTTACCATCTGAACCACCAGGGAATCCTATTTAATAAAAAGAAAAAGAATGGTGCTTATTTTGTGGACTTTATGCTTTTAAGAAAAGAAAAAAATATTTTCAGGGTAGATAGCTCATGAATTCAGTGTAGCTAGAAGTCACTTTCTTGTCCAGGGTGAGGCTATTGATATGCTGTATGAACTCATTCATTTTGTCTGTCACAAAATCTCTGACTTCTGGAGCATGAAAACGCCATTACACAGAGTGGATCTGATTCCTTTGGATCCAGGTTTTTAAAGGAATGAAGTAATTGTGTTACCCTCTAGTGGAATATTTCAAAACTTGAACTTAGATGGTCCAGAGAAAGGGAAAACTTTACCCAGTTGTATACCTGGAGTTAGAAACCAGTGTGAAAGTCAGAGTTGAGGCTTCTTTTGTGGTCAGTTTGTTTTGTAATGTGTTCTTGCAGTAACATCCAGGAGATGCGGGCTCGGCACAAAGATGCTTTTCTGAAGAAACATAACCTCAAACTAGGCTTCATGTCGGCATTTGTGAAGGCCTCAGCCTTTGCCTTGCAGGAGCAGCCTGTGGTAAATGCAGGTGAGTTTGTGGTGGCCAGAATCAACAGAGGTCCTGGAGGTATGTGTGTAAATACAGAAATGCTCCCCCACACTCAACACACAAAAACGACGGTCCTCTGACTGAGGCTTCTTATTTCAGATGTGTGAGAACGTGAGTACCTTTCCTAGGGATTTCTGGACTGACCTTCCTGAATGGGCATCACGAGTGCTTCCTCCCCATCAGCCGGACAGAACAGGTTCCCTTCCCAGTGCAGAGCTTGGCAGCTGCTCTGGTGACAGGCGGTTCTGAGCCAGTCCGTTTCTCCAAGCTTCTCATGTCAGTGTGGAAACTCATGTTGTGGCTGCTGCCCACCCTCCCACAAGCACTGTTATCTTGGGACCCGACTTCTGTAGTTGGCATAGCTCCAGGGTGACCTTTGATTTCTGGCCAGTGGACTTCACTGGAAGGCCCTGGGCTTCCTCTTTTGTGGGCTGGGTGCTCATTTTCCTTACCTTTTGCTCGCCTGCATTGTTGAAATGTTGACCTAACAAGCAGTTCTCTTCTCCCCTGAGACAATTCTCTGTGTCCTTGGAAGATTAGAGAGAGGACATTGGACACTTTTGCAACCCTCAGCAGTGCAGGGTCCCGAAAGGTCTAGAAATAGAAGTCCTAATCCCTTCTGCCAAGTGGTGTGCCCTCAGGTAGGGGAAGGGCTTTGTTTCATCCAAATGTGAAACCTCTTTACTTCTTCCATTCTTATGCTTCCTGATGACTCTTTGCATCTCTTCTGCCTGCCCATACATGTAGGCATTTCTCAGAGTTCCCTTGGCCTCCTTCTCACTTTATATGCTTTTCCTGGGTATCCTATCTACAAAACAACATAGAATTCCTAAGGAAAAGATTCTCAAGCCTGTATTTTCTCATGAGCACCAGACTTAAATTCTTTTTTTTTTTCCATTTATTTTTATTAGTTGGAGGCTAACTACTTTACATCATTGCAGTGGTTTTTGTCATACATTGAAATGAATTAGCCACGGATTTACATGTATTCCCCATGGATTTACATGTATTCCCCATCCCGGTCTCCCCTCCCACCTCCCTCTCCACCCGATCCCTCTGGGTCTTCCCAGCGCACCAGGCCCAAGCACTTATCTCATGCACCCAACCTGGGCTGGTGATCTGTTTCACCCTAGATAATATACATGTTTCGATGCTGTTCTCTTGAAACATCCCACCCTCGCCTTCTCCCAGAGTCCACAAGTCTGTTCTATACATCTGAGTCTCTTCAGACTTAAATTCTTAGCTACTGGTTTGCTCTCTCAGGCTAGCATATTAAAGACAGACCACACCGCTTCCTACCGAGTCTTCTGGAAAGAGGCTTCCCTTGCTCCTTGTTGGGAGTGAGCAGCAGAATGGGCAACATCCCCCCACGTCCACTTCATTTACTAACTTGCCCTTTCTGGGGGGCACTTTTAAACCTGCCATTAGCTGAGGGAGGGCTGGAGTAGAGCTGGTGAGCGAGAACTTGGGCACACACTTAACCCTGTGTTAGCTCGTGTACCGATCCTTCTCAGGGCTGCCGAGGGGACAGATGCTCCTGTGCTCAAGCTTAGTCAGGACACCTGGGAGAAATCATGATTGGTTGGCTTGGGAGTAAGAGGAGTGCCGGCTGCCACTTGGAATGCGGTGGTTTCTGTACTGGCTGCTCAGTCCACACTGTACGAAGCATCTCGGATTTTTACTCTATTAATGCAAATGTTTCCTCACTAGCCTCGGCCTGGGGAGTTATATGTAATGTGTGTTTTCTCTTTCATAGTGATTGACGATGCAACCAAAGAGGTGGTGTATAGGGATTATATTGACATCAGCGTTGCGGTGGCCACCCCTCGGGTATGTTGGAGCAAGAAGTGGGGATCTCTGGTCTTTGACTCTTACCCATTTGAAGAAGCAGGCCTCTTGAGAGACTTTTTCTGTAATTTTGTTTTTCTAGAAGGGAGTTGTTTGAAGAATAAACCTGTTTTTGACCATACCACATTATTTTATTTTTTGCAAGTCTAAATATTTTAGACTATATTAATCACGTTGAGTAATTAAGATACTCTGGGGAGACCTTTGGCTTGAATCAAGAGAGTTGTAGCTATAAAGGGTACTGTTAATTTACATCTGAAAAGAGATTTTTACTCTCATCAGGGTCTGGTGGTTCCCGTCATCAGGAATGTGGAAACGATGAATTATGCCGATATTGAGCGAACCATCAGTGAACTGGGAGAGAAGGTAAAATGGAAGGGTGTGTGTGAGCTGCAGGGCAGGTCAGGGAAGAGAGCCTGGGGAGGCTGGGCCAGTGAGCGGTCCTCAGGGAGCTGGGACCTCCCTTCGTTGTGAAAAGGGGACATAGCCCTGAGAATGGCAGTCACGAGCAAGAGCCGAAGTATAGCTCTGGTGGAGCTTGTGGTGCTCCTGTGAATGAAGATTTCATCTCATCGGGGTAAACCTGCTCGGAAAAGGGAAGGTCCAGAGTCCTTTCCTCCGGCCTGTAATGAGTCACAGGCATCTCAGTTAAAGCTAGAACTTGGACCATTGATCTCAGATGTGAGCCTTCTGGACTTCCTTTAGGTGGAGGAAGCTGGGTTGACATTACCTTTCAATTATAAAATCTGTTTTTAGGCCCGGAAGAATGAACTTGCCATCGAAGATATGGATGGTGGTACTTTTACCATCAGCAATGGAGGTGTTTTCGGCTCGCTCTTTGGAACGCCCATCATCAACCCCCCTCAGTCTGCCATCCTAGGCATGCATGCCATCGTTGATAGGCCAGTGGTTGTGGGAGGCAAGGTAGGAACCATCACCGTTAATGTCCCAGCAGCTACGTGAAGAGGTGAGGGAAGTCTTAACTAAATGCTCGTTAAAGATTCGCTGTAATTTCAGGCATAAGTTGAATCTCTTCATCTCTAATTAATAGCTAAGGCATTGGTTCTCAAATTGTGTGTGGAACAGCAGCACACACTTGCTGGAACTTGTTGGAAATGCATACTCTTGGCCCCTTCCCAGACCTAGTGAAGCAGAGAGTATAGATGGTTCTGAGGCACATTAAGGTTTGAGCACCATCGAGCTGAGAAAGCTTGCTCCTTCATCTGGGACTAGTCAACAGGCTTCCTTCTATAGAGGTTGTGGGGGTACCATTGAAGGCGTGGTCCTCGCCTTGGGAAGTGGAGGACAGCAGTGCAGAGCCGCTATCAGCTTGCCGGGTTGTAGTGATGATGTTTAGAGCTCTCCTGGGAGTCAGGGAATGAGGTCGGAGGGTCTTGAGCTGGCCCTCCAAGATATGTTGGTAGGAAAATGTTTTGTGGGACCCCTGTGTTTAGAACCTTTTGAAGTCCCTAACTCCTTGAATCTAAAAATTGTAGATATCTGCTGAAAGTGCTCATATACCCAACCTTGCATAGAGGTTCAGAGAATTTGTGGACCCCAAGTTAAAAAAAAATTATTATATCTTCAAAGAAAAAACTGCAGGTAGCCAAAATTGAAGAGGAACTTTTCCTTGTAGATGGCAGATACGTGAGAGGGCAGAGCATGGTTTTTATTTAAAGACAGTTGTAAGGAGACGCCTGTTTTCTTGGGTTAAGCTTTTTGTTTTTGAGTGTGGGAGCTTTGCACTCAGGGTCTGGCTTGGTCTTTGAACACATTATATCTAGAAGCAACAAAGCAAAGTAGGAAAGTCTCTGGACCTGGGGACTTAACTGTGGGCTGTGTTTAGTCATCTCCCCGCTTCATCAGGGCTTTCTCTGTCCCACTGCAGACAAACCTGTCGGCCTCTCTTCTCTGTAGGTGGAGGTGCGGCCCATGATGTACGTGGCCCTGACGTATGATCACCGGCTGATCGACGGCAGAGAGGCTGTGACTTTCCTCCGCAAAATCAAGGCGGCGGTAGAGGATCCCAGAGTCCTCCTACTGGACCTTTAGGAGGAAGCCTGTGCCCCACACAACCATGCAGGAACTGAAAACCAGTCTTCTCCCTGTCCCCTCACAGGCCCCAGGTCAGCCTGGTGACAGGCACATGCTGTTGGCCTCAAGCAAGGAAACCAGGGCACTATGTAACCAGCAGTCGCAGGTCTCTCTTGGTGTTCCTGCCAGGCTCTCTCCCTCTCTGCACCCTCTCCTACACTCAAATATCTGATTTCCTTAGGCTTGAGGGAGAGAGAGAGCCTTAATGGATGCTTGTTATTATTCCTGCCTTTCCTCCCATTAGCCCTCCACAGAGATGATTTCGCTTTCTTCCTGTCCAGTACACTATAGGGAAACTGCCGGGGACCATGTGATTAAGTTTCTATCTTTTGAACGTCTGTTCTCCAGAGATGCCGAGGAGGGTGCTCTGCCTCCCATGCTCGGAGCCGCCTCTGTCCTGGTGGCGCCGTCCTCGCTCGATTCCCCCCATGAGGCGGTGCCGACCATAGGCCGCAGGTGCTGCTCTGCCTCGGTGGTGCCTGCGTTCTCAGCTGTCATTGTCTAAGAGCTGCCTCTTGTACCTCTTCCAGGAAGCACATGCTGGGGGATCTGGAGGGGCAGAGCGGGGGAGTAGGCAGGTTCTGAGGTCGTGTGTCATAAACAGGACTGGAGCAGAACCCAGGCCTGCCCTCGCACTCTCCGTCATAACTGCACCAGGAAGACCCGTTTTGGCACAGGAACACACAGCCGTGGTTGTGCCAACCTTTCCAGGCTGCTAGGAACCATTTCTGCCACCTTGTTCTCACTTAGATGCTAGCACCTCTTGGCAGGGAGACAGAGCGTGTTCCAGCCTCGGGCTCCTGGTAGAGACTGGCGTGAAGGTGACTTCCTGTGGACTGGCTCAGATTGTCTTGAGCTGTTAAATTCCCTTGGTATAAGCCTGTGGGCTGCAGAGGCGGTTCTGTTCCTCCCTGTGCCAGTGCCCTTCGGGAGTGGACCCTCAGCTCTTCCTCGGTAGAACACAGGTCTGGTGGAGGATGGATGTGGTGGAAACCCGCCCAGGGTGCTTGTACACAGCGGGGAAAAGGCCAGTGTCACCTCTGAGGTACTGCCTTGGGTCTGGGCACCGACATTGGAGTTCTTTGGAGCATGGTTAAATGCACACATCTTGTCGGGAAAGTTACTGGGCTTCATCACGTTGTATCCCAACTGCATCCAGGCCTGAGGCTGCTGACCCTTGACAACCGGGAGCCATTTACTTAGTGTGGAATGCCCATTGGTATCTTGAGCGAAGAAGCAAGGCCTGGGGATTGGGTGGGGGAGGGGTGGGAGCCAGTACTGAGTGCCTGCAGCAGCTACTCTGTCTTCACTATTCAGAACTTGTAACTCAGTATTTAAAGAAACCGATTTTAAATGCAAATTAAAGGGCAAATGTTCGCAAACAGTGTTCCTGCTTCTGTACTTCTTTTGGTTACTGAGGTTGTACTGATGAAGAAAAAATTGTTCCACCCTGCTTGAGGCCCTTCAAATGCTGGCATTTTGGTGGGGCCTCATGTTATTTCTGGGATGGACTGGGGAGAGGTGGAGCGACTCATAATTTCACATTTTGCAGTTGATGGCCACATCGGTACCCAGTTGCTCAAGGTTGGTCAGAACAAATGAGGGTAAATCACCTCCTTGGGGCAGTGGTCTGTGAGGGCTAGCAGATGGGGCTGAGAGCTGATGTGTGCGGAGTACCTGTGACAGTGCTTGGTAGTGTCCAGGCTGAAACAGTCTGGCTGTTCCCCACGCAGTCCCCGCCTGCTGACCTTGCTCACAGTGGTACCATCTTTATATGAAGGTCTGTCACAGGAACAGAGTGGCTCCTACATGGCAGAACTAGAGCTAGTAGAAGAAACTTGGGTTCAATGAAAGAATTTTAGAATGATCAGGTCTGGGGCATGGAGCTACAAGCTTTCATATCTTTACTAAACCTACAAAGGAGGTATATTTAGCCCTGTTTTTATCAAATGGAGACAGACTGTAAACCCCGCTGAGACCACAGATCTAAACCCAAGGCCTAGCAGCGTGTCAGATGTGCAGTACTTATTGCATGAAGCCCAGAAGTTCCAGAGGCAACTAGTGCTTCATATGGTGCTTGGAGGTGGTCTGGCCTGACTTAGTGTAATAGAAGGAACAGACTTGTGAGCGTACTCCACCAGGCTCTGGCCAGGTCCTCTCATTTACCTCCTTGAATTCCAGTCTTCTCAGCAGGAGCCACCATGTGTTCAAGGGGTCACTGTGAGGATTGCCCCCCCCCCCCAACCCCCGCAAGCACCATGACTGTCTTTGAAGACTTTCTTGTTTTATGTCCCACAGAGCCCAGTGTCCCCTACATGCTGGGACTTTTCTGTGGGTTCACAGCTGCTCTGTGGGGTACAGGCTGGCATGCTGTCCACTACCAGCCCTGCTTCCTCCTTCTAGCAGGTTCCAAACACACTCTTGGTTAACATGGAGCTCCTCCTCCTCTATTCCCATTCTCGCAGGGCCCCTCTCATTGCGTTAATGAGGCAAGGACACCAGAGGCAAGAGCAGGCTTTATTGGAGTGGGGGTGGAGGAGGCAGGCAAGCCCAGGGAGAGCCAGCACCTCCCTGTGTCCTTGGCCTCAGGCTCATCCCAAGGACCTCCCTGCAGCACAGGCCCCCAGCCCTTCACAGCCAGGACTGGAGGGCGGTGTCAGAGATGCCGCCTGGTGTGATGGAGACTCAGGCAAGAAGGAGTTGTGGGCAGAGGTCTATGGAAGTTTCTGTCTTGATTCCACACCTCAGTGACAGGGTGAGTCCTGAGAGGGAGAAGGGGGCCCCCAAATCTGGGGAGGGAATTATCTTTAGGGGTAACTACTTATCCTAGCTCTTCAGAGACCAGAAACTTCTTGCTTCTGGCTAAAAGCTTGGGCAATCATTCTGGGTGTTGCGTGGTTTCATTTCAAAAGGAAATGAAGTCACAGTGGGTAGTGGATTGAGTGGGCCCTCAACACTGAAATGCAAAATGGTAAACAGGACAAATGTCCAAGAAGGGAATCCTAGTGGAGACAACTTTCCTTCAAGTGGCTTCAGGCTGGAAACAGAATCCTGGTTCCCCCGGCTCAGACCCACGGGCCAGGGTTTGCTTTCTCTCCACGTGAGTGGGCTAACTGGGGAAGGGAGCTCTTTATTCTGTTTTCAAAACTTCTGTAAGTGGCAGAGCTGTGCCTTCCCCTCTTTCTTCCCCTTCCTCCTTATCCTTATTTTCCTCCCCTCCTTTCCTTTTGCTCTCAAAGGTCTGTAATCACAAGATAAGCGGCATGGTCAGGAGGGGATGGGTTGTCCTGTCCCTCCCGCTCCACCCCATGTCCACTACAGACTTCTTCCCTGCTTCCCCACCTCCCCCATCCCCTGGGGAAGTAGCCTTCGATAGAAGGGTCACACTGGTTGCATGGCTAAAATGACCAACTAGGACAGCCCTGGTTTGGAGCCAGGAAGCCAGGGGACTAGTATCCTGAGATGAGTCTCCAGAGACATCCTGAGTGGGGTGCATGGCAGATCACAAGTCAAGAGTTCTCGGCTCAGCAGGTGGTCAGTAGCTCAGAGCTAATGCCAAGGAAGGCACCTTTTAACAGGACAGGTCCGAGTTCAAGGTACAGGGTGTAGACACAGCAGGTGACTGTTGACTGATGGGCGAAGGATGGACAGGTGGAGACGTTCAAGCTGCCTAACAGGCTGAGATCTTTGTCCCTCAGCACCAACTAGAAAGCATTTCTCCAAGAGGTGGCTAGGGGAGTCCACAGGCCCTTCCTGGTCAGTGGCGATGAGACTGCTGAGGCCCAAGGGTGGGGTCCTGACCAGGAAAGGCAAAGCTGCCTTGCATTCTTTGCCCGTGGGCCACTGATGGGAGGTGGCAGGCAAAGAGACAAGAGGAGATCCAGACCAATCCGGCCACCCCGATTGCCGACGCCACACTCTCCTACCCCACCAGTTTGCTCCACTGGATGGAACTGAAAAAGGGGTGGGCCTTGAGCTTGTGGACACCGTCTCCTCCAGTGCCCAGGCGCTGGTCCGGATCGAACTGCAGCAGCTGCGGAGAAAAGCCCAGTCAGCCCTGGGCAGGCCGGCCAGACCCCTGGAATCCCGTGCTACCCTGGTGGGGGAGGCGGACATTGGTGTTTGGCCACTGAGATATAGAAATTTGTTGGCCCTAGGACCCTCCTGCTCCCACACCAGACACCTAGTACATGGGGTGAGTTGTTCACATACAGGGTTCTGTCCTCCCTTCTGTCCACCCTCAGGCCAAGAAGGCGCCACCGGGAGGCCGCCTGCACCTCACCTCAGTCAGCAGGGAGGCCGCCGGGCCACTGAGCTGCTCTGGCAGCTGCAGCTGGGTGTGGGGCTGGATTCCTGAGGGGTGGCTCTGGGACAGCGCCTGGGAAGACACGGGGAGGCGGCCCCCAGGAGTCTGTACACTCCAGTGGCGGCCGAGATTTTATTTCTTCCCCCTGTGCCACACCTCAAGGGCACGGTCATCACTCTGTCGCCTTCTGCTTTGGATCTGCTGCCTGCCGGGCTGAGGAAGTGCCTGACACCTGTGATCCCTAGTTTCTGCAACAACCTTCAAAGTAAGCAATTGGCATCCCCATTTTAAGGGCAAGAAGCAGGCTCTGAGAGGTCGACAGATCTGTGCTGATTTCAGGGCTTGAACCCAGGCCCCTGTGGCTCCAAGCTTGCTGGAAGCACCGGCCTTGGGTTGCCATCGGGGCAGGCACTCTATCAGGAGCAGCACTGAAACCTCTCTCCTTACAGAAAGCAAATCTCCATGGGCGGCTCCTTTGCCATGGCATGCTCCTGCCAGGGTCAAGGCAGGGCTGTGGTGAGACAAGAAGGCAGGACCTATCTGTGCTCCAGAAGGGTGCAGCTGCAGGGAGCAGAGAGGTGTGTCTGGAGGTCAGGAAGACAGGCAAGAAGCCACCTGGAGGAAGGCCAGGAGCCCTGAGCTGGACAGGTGGGAGGGCCCCAGCTAATAGGAGAGAACCACTCTGGGAGGCTGTTTCGCAGCCAGGGCTCTCAGAGGCCCTGGCCTCGGGACCAAAGCAGGAGGCAGCCAGGAGTGACCGGTCAGCTCTGAACTTCCGGTTACACTGCGTCCTCTAGGGCACTTCCTGCCCAAATGGAGCTTGGGCTCTCCCTGATGTCTGATTTAACCGGCCCCAGGTGCAGCCCTGAGCTCATGGGGGAGGACAGAGAGCTGAGCCCACCACCCTGAGCAAGGTGCTTGCGAGGGGAACTTCAAGCTCTGGGTCGACCCAGGCTGGACAGGGCAGCTGCCGGCCTGGGATGATGGAGACCCTCTCTCTGGCCTTCCAGCCAAAGTCTGGGAGTCACAGCTCTGAAGGGTGTGGATGGGGGGACGTGGTGTGAGCAGTGGGGAGAGGAGGCCTAGGGGGGATGATACGAGGAAAAGGGCTGTGTCACACTCAGCCTCCCTCCAGAGCCAGGCCCAGGCGCCCTCTTCCAGGAACCTTCCCTGAGCACCGCAGCTTGACTCTCCCTCATCTAAGTTGACCGTCTCCCTAGCTATCGCCACTTGCCTGATGAGGGTTGGGGGTGCAAAGTGTGGCCAAGGCCTGGATGGGAATTGCTTCCTCCTTCGCTCACGGAGAGGCCTGTGCTGACAAGACATTGGGCCCAATGGCCAGGTCTTGAGCAATCAGGTAGGCTCAGCCCCCGACACTGACCGGTTGGACTAACCCCAGCCCATGCTATGCTCAGTGACACCCGCCAGGCTCCACACCCTGCCCGCACAGAGCTCACCGTCCCGGTCAGCAGTTCATACAGGAGAGACCCAAAGCTCCACCAGTCGCAGGCTTCGGTCAGCTCCGAAATCCCACCGACCTCTGCGGGAGCCAGAACGCACGAGTCCTCAGCCTCGCTGAGCGGGCAGGTCTCCCCTCAACCCCTTCCCCCCCACCCCCACCCCGGGATGTGCCTGTCCCCCGGCCCCGCCCACGCCCAGACGCCCAGGGGCTGCCCCGCCCCTCCCTTCTTGCCTGGGGCACTGTAGAGTTTTCGCGAAGCCTCCCTGCAGCACTGGGGCTCCACCTCTGACCACTGGCCAAAATACGTGAGCCGGATGTGGCCTTGTCATCCCGCGCGTGTGCAGGGAGGAGCCAGAGGGGGCGAGAGCAGCAGTGAGTCATCCTGGAGCCTTTGGCGTGGGGCAGGGGACCCCAGGAGCCAGTGGGCTGTGCTGGGCAGAGGTTCCCTAGGGGCACGGCCCCTCCACCCCGAGGTCCCCGGGATAACCTGGTCTTCACAGGAGCAGCTGCCCCGGAGCTCAGGGTGGGGAAAAGGGTCTGTTTTCCAAGCTCAACCACGGCCAGCCAGGCGGGCTTGGCTGAGGCCTTCCCGAAAATGTAGGGGGTGGGGGTGCCTCAGGGGAACAGGCAGATAATGTCTGCCTCCTCTTGGCTCTGGGGAAATCTCGAGGCTTTGGGGGCCTCCTGCCTGCCTGAGGGGTGGGGTAGGGTTAGGGCCCACTCCTCTGCCCCCAGCCTCCCACCCCCGGCCCGGGGCACCTACCGGCCTGGTCCAGGAGCAGATTCCGGGGATTGAGGTCCCGGCACAGCACCCCTTGCTGGTGCAGCGCCTCCAGGGCCAGCAGCGTCTCGGCTGCCCACTGCCTCACCTGCTCCTCCTTCAGACTCCAGGCGCCCCCGCCGGGCACCGGGCTGGCCCCTCGAGAGGCCGAGGGGTGGCTCGGACCTCTGCCTCGGCTGCAGCCCCCCAGCACCCGGCTGGCCCCGGCCCGAACCCAAGGGAGCCCCCAAGGGGGCGTGGGCTCTGAGCTCCGGCCAGGTCCTCGCCTGGCCTGGCATGGCAGGCGGCCACCGGGGGCCTTTGGAAGGTCCCAGAAGCAGGCGGTGCTCGTCCTGGCTGGTGTTTCACCCCCAGCCTCTCTCTGGGGTGTAACGAATGCCGCACCCCTGGCTGGGGTGGGGCTCTGAGAAGTCCACGGAGGCTTCAGAGGGATTCCGTCCTGCAGGCGGGTGTGTCCCGGGGGCACCTGAGCCGGGGTCCCGAGGCTGAGGTGGGAGTTTAGCGGAACCTTCGTCTTCTCCAGGCTGGAGCCAGACCCCGTCCCAGACTGCTGGGGGTGCGGCTGGGAGAGCAGGTGGGACCAGAGTGTGCCTCCTGGGCCGAGCAGAGGGAGCCGAAAACGTGGGGGCGGGAGAAGAAATGAGTGTGGACGCATTTTTGTCCCACACCTGCTCCCTCTCTGTCTTGGGCACAGACCCTCTGCCTTCAGGTCCTCACTTGGCTCTCTCCCCTCCGGAAGCCCAGGATGCCCTCTCTCCTCCTCTCCACCCACCCGTGACGGGGCCCCAGGCTCACAACCTGGCACAAAAATAGGTGCTTAACCCCTAAGGAGATGTAAATTATTCTCTAATGTCCTTGGTCTAGGTGACGGGTTCTCCGGTGTTCCGTGTATTATATATTTTTCAAAAGGAGAATCCTGGAGAAGGGCATGGCAACCCACTCCAATATTCTTGCCTGGAGAATTCCATGGACAGAGGAGCCTGGAGGGCTGCAGTCCACGGGGTCACAAAGAGTCGGACATGACTGAGCGACTAAGCACAGCACAAAGGGAGAATGGTGTCATCAATTTAATTAAGTAAAACAAAAGAAGGCTAGGCATGGATCCGTGATGACAATATGTCATGATCCAGAGAGGTGTACCTCATTGAAAACAAAACAAAAAAATTCCTAACTGATCAATAAATATCTGCTGTGGCCCAGTTCCTGTCCTTACAGCTTTGGCACCATCATCCCATGTGGCCACTCGGAGGCGTGGGCACAGACTTGAAAAGTGAAACGAGCCAAGACTGGGGGAGGTGACAAATGGGACACCTGCATACGTGCCCTCGTTCACCCAAGACGTGAACATCCTCCCAGGATGTCCCCTGCCCCCTGGCATCACTGAGAAGTCCATAGCAGGCTGGTCCTGCCTTCACCCTCCAGGCAGGCTGGGCCTGTGGCTGGTTACCAAGCTCGGCATTTCAAGTGGATGAGGCAGAACCACCTCCCAAAGGCCTGAGGAGCTGACGGGGCCCCTGGGGCCCGCTCACCTTGCACGTGCTCCAGGTGCAGGAAGATGGAGTCCTCAGTCACAAAGTACCGCAGCAGCTGGGTCATGTAGGGGACACCGTGCGGGATGATGGTCAGCCGCTCCCGGCTCGCCACGTGGCACCTGGACAGGCCCTGAGGAGGGGGCAGGCCAGGCAGATAAGCTGGGGGCCAGCCAGAGGCCACTCTGCTCTTCAGGGGCAACCAGATGAAGTGTGGGAGCCCCCCAAGGAGCAGCTGCCTCCCCCCAGTTCCTGTCCTGACCCTCAAGCCTCTTTCCACTATGGAAGGCAGGCCCTCCCCTCCCTGTCCGGCCAAGGGTAAGGCAGTATATGTGTATGTGTTTCTGGGAAGTTGGGCACATGCCCGGCGTGCAGAACTAGCAGCTGTGGGATCTGGAGGGAACATGGGCTTCCCATATGGGTTCTGGGTAGAGGCTCCCCAGAGGGCAGGGGTTTCCAAGAGCTCCGAGAAGGTCCCAAGGGGAAGGAGGAATGGCAGGGGGTGGGGTGGCACCTGCCTTCACCACGAAGGTCCCTCCAGTCGCTAGGTCCTGGACCAGCTGCACCTGCAGGGGTCCAGGAGGCACTAGTCAAGGCACAAGCTAGTTCCCGGGGCTCCATGCCCCCCCCCACCCCCGCCCAGGCCCCATGCTCCTCCACCCACGCTAGGCAGGGACATCAGGCTTTGGTGGTACAGAGTATACGCCCTCTTCCACCAACATGACTCCGAACCTGTCTGATTCATCCACCCTCGTTAGACCTGCAGGTCAGCTCAGGTACCACCTCCCCCAGAAAGCCTTCCCAACCTCAGCTTGGGCCAGGACTCCTAACCTGTCTGCAGTGCTCTCTGGGCTCACCCCCATCACACTGTGTGTGATTTCCTGTTGCTCCACTGGGCTGTGAGCTCCAAGAGTTCAGGGACCATGCTGCCTAGCTCTGTATTCCCAGAGCCCTGCACTGCACAGGGATGTAGTCAGAGCTTCCCACACGAGTAGTGAGTGGTCCATCCTGCAGGATCTGAGGGTGGCATGGCTGGAAGGGACCTCAGGACCAGTCACCTTCTCTCAACTCTTATTTTATAGGTGAAGAAGCCAAGGCTCTGAGAATGTAGCCCCAGTGGTGCCTGAAACCATGTGGGCTTGGCGAGCTCCTTCAGGTCGCACCCCCTGCCCCCCACCCCCAGTGGTGCGATGGTCTTATTCTTGGACTCTGTCTTTGGCGAGCAACCCATTCCTTCTCCTGTTGGTTTTGCTTGGTGGCAGTGGTCTGCAATTGCAGGGTCAGAACCTTGTTTGGAGCTGGGCCCTAGACTCATCTCCATTATGGGCAGGGGTGAACCCCAGCCATAGGAGAGGACCTGTCAGGGCAGAAAGGTGGAAGATTCAGCCCAGACAGGGGCACATGAGGGCAAGACCAGCACCCTGGGTCATAGCAGTCCCTCCTTCAGAAGGCCATTAAGAGGATGTTGCTAAATCAGACAACTCAAGTAGGCGGCAGCTCGAGCCTGCCATATAACATGCTCTCTATAGTCTTTGCTGATGACTATTAATATCTACTCTGTATAGGATTATTATAGTATAGGATAGTATTATACTGTATACTGTATAGTATTACTCTGCACTAAGGGCCTTATCTAGTTTACTTCATTTTATTCTTACAGCCCTATAAGGTGAGTATTTCTGTGCTGTTCTGCTGTGCTCAGTCATGTCTGACTCTCTGAGACCCGCCAGGCTCCTCTGTCCATCCGATTCTCCAGACAAGAAGACTGGAGTGGGTTGCCATTTCCTCCTCCAGGAGATCTTCCTGACCCAGGGACCAAGCTCACGTCTTTTGTGTCTCCGGCATTGGCAGGCAAATTCTTTATCACTGCGCCACCTGGGCAGCCCCAAGTATTACTAGTGACTCATTTTACTGATAAAGAAATCGAGGTTCAGAGAGGTAACGCTGCCTGCAGTCCCAGAGCTGGGATGCGAATCCAGATGGGCTGACCCAAGAGCCTTGAAGACATAACTGAAAACAGGGACACAACTAGGTGACCTGGCACATGCCTTCCGCTCTGGGCCTCAGATTCCCCGTCATCAGCGAGATGAAGGTGGTGGACTCTGAGGGCTGGGGCATCAGGAGTGAGGTACCCCTTCTGACCACTAGAGGTCTCTCCCCCAACAGCCGGAGATGGAGTCCAGCCTGATCCCGGCTCCTCCGCCCAGTGTGTTTGAAAGAGAGAACTCTGGGGTCATTTAGGATAACACGGTTTCCCACAAGTGCTGACACCCCGGATAATTCCCCACTGCCTCTTGCCAAGTGGGATTCCCCACCACCTTGTCCTGGGCAAGGCTTCTCGTTTACAGATTAAAAAAAAAAACCCAGCAGGGAAGGTCAGGGAGGCCAGAAACAAAACTTGATCAGTACACTGAAACAGTATGTTAAAAAAGAAAAGAAAAAATACATACACACACACACACACACAAGAATCAAGAAATTAGGCCAAACCATTAATGCTGATGATCTTGGAATGAGGTAGGATGGTGGGCAATATTTGTTGTTGTCACTGTTGTTTCTGGCCACACTGAATGCCTTGCAGGATCTTAGTTCTCCAACCAGGCATCAAACCTGTGCCCCGCTGCAGTGGAACTGCAGAGTCCTAACCACTGTATAACGAGGAAATTCCCATTTATTGTTTCAAACTCTTTTGTTTTACATCATATTTCAAAAGGGTAGCAAAAGGGACATCCCCCCCCCCCCCGCCCCATTAAACCAAGCAAACAAAACAAAACAAAAAACCCCTTCCTCTTTTGTTCTGTGCTATGGGAGACAGAGCACTGGTTTGTCACTTGACCTCTATGAGCCTCAGTTACATTCTCTGTAAAAGAATGATTAAAATGCAGCAGCACTGCGCAGGAGGACTTTCTGCTGTGACAGAAATATTGTCTATCTATCCAATATAGAAGCCATGAACCACATGTAGCTATCAAGCCTTTGAAATATATTGGGTGCCACTGAGAGAATATTTAATTAAAACTGGACTTCCCTGGTGGTCCAGTGGTTATGACTCTGCGCTTGCACTGTGGAAGGTCTGAATTCAATCCCCACTCGGGGAAGTTCTACATGTTACATGGTGCAACCAAAAAAAGTTTTTTTTAATAGTCTTACGGGCTTCCCAGGTGGCACTAGTGGTAAAGAACCAGCTTGCCAATGCAGGAGACGTAAGAGACTTGGGTTCAGTCTCTGGGTTGGGAAGATTCCCTGGAGGAGGGCATGGCAACCCACTCCAATACTCTTGCCTGGAGAATCCCCATGGACAGAGGAGCCTGGTGGGCTACAGTCCATGGGGTCACAAAGAGTCGGACATGACTGAAGCAACAATTCCATTCCATTTCATGTGGCTGGTGACTACTATATCTGACTGTACAGTATAACCCTTCTTCCCCCGCAGGGAGACCGAGTGGGTTTAATGCAACAGCTGTGCCAACTACAATGGGCCTTACAGATGCCAGGTGAGATTGCTATCTGGAAGGTATAAGGCAGTTCTGAGTGCCAGCTCCCATCTTTTTAAAAAAGGAAGTCTCTTTTTTAAAAACTAAAACCCACTGAGCTCTCGGGATGTGAGGACAATTAAAACTTTGGTAAAACACATTAACCCCTTCTTTTAAAATGTCCACAGTGTCAAGGCCAGGAGGACTCCCTCCTGGAGCAAACAAATCCAGAAGTTTCAAATAGGTTCTCAAGCACAAAGGTCCAAAGGGGCTGTTCATGTGTGCCAGTGGGCAGGGCAGGAAAGGGGAAGGGCTAGCGCCTCATTAAAGCGGGCAGCCCTTCCTTGGCCCCGGGCTGACAGGCCGGAATGTGAGCCTGCACTTCCAGATCCTCTCATTTCTCAGGAGAAGTAGGAAACTTGGACTTTCTTTATGAAACCTGCCAATTTTTACATGCTGATAAATAGTAATAATTTTAAAAACACCCTTGTGTTTGAGCCAAAAACACAGAAGGGACTTGGCTGTCCTTCTCTTTCTTCCCCATCCCGGACTCAGGGCCTGGCTCATGGACGAAGCTCAGCAAATAGCCAGTGTTGTCTCCCAAGCCCACCAAGGCTCCCCAAGAGCAGACCCTGGGCATCCTGGCCAGCTGCCCACCTAGTCCCTGACCTACCCACCTCACTGTTCTCTGCCACCCCCTAGCCCAGCAGCTATCTCTGCTGGCCCTGAGGAACCCCTCTTCGGCCCTGTGAACCCTCACGGTGGGACCTCTCTGGGGGCACTCAAGGCTTCCTCAATGGGGCCCTTTGCTGCTCTGAGTCTGGAGGCTGCTGCAGACTGGCACTGCTCTGCCAACCACCCGCCCTGGTCTGTCTGGGCACGGCGATGGAATGAAAAGCAGTGACATCCATCCAGGCCTGGCTGTAGGCACCTGGGCCCAGTGGCCCTAATATCTCTCCTAATTTGGGAGACTGATTTTCCTGGCTTGTGAATGACACAGGAAAAGGCCACAGGATTTTACGAGGGATGTGGAGTGGCTAAGTTGAGTGCTCAAGAAAGGGTAATAAAGGAAAAAAGAGGGCACTTGTAAGACAGAACGGTTGGGCTTGGCCTGAATCTGTTTTTCCCATATGCACAGGCCTCAGAATAGAGGATTCCAAAAATGCTTTGCACATGTGTGTCTGGGGTTAAACAAATTCAAATTCGGGGAATTCTGTCACAGACCTCCCTCTTGGAGATTCACTGTGTACATTTGCATCCTCAAAGCCTGAAACTTCCTAGAATTAAAGCAATGAAGTAATGTAACTTTAACTCACTGTTTCTAAAGCTTATTTGACCCAGAACCCCTCTCTCCATAACACCATTGGTTCAGTGGGATCCCACAAGGGCAAACAGTGGTGGCTGTCGCCTTCTCGGCCTGCCCATGGGGGCGGCTGAGCCACGTGGATGAATGCGGTGGGCGGGAAGGGCTGGGCAGATGGAAGCTGGCTGGGCCTTGGCTGACAGACCAGGCGCCTGCTCCAGGGACCGGGGAGCAGCTGCTGGAACGAGGCCAGGGATGGGAAGCCTGCTTGCCGCTGACCCACTCTTGTCATCAGGCTTCAGCCATCAAACTTGTATCAAACACTTTAGTGTGTGCCAGGCTTTTCCCAAAAATTATTTCACTTTAGTTCCCACATCCCGCTGGGTGGGAGGGTGCGGGTGGGTGGGAGGATCCCTTCTCCACTTCCAGATGAGAAAACTGGTGCCCAGAGAGGGCAAAGAGCTTGCCTGGGACCACGCGGTGCCCGTCCAGACAGCACTTCATCCTCGGCGGTGTGTGAAGAACACACACCAGTTCTTTTTTCTCTGCCAGCTCCCACACCCGCCCAACTCCCCCATGAGTGTCTTAAATGACAGATGCCTGGGTTCAACCCTAGAAATTCTCACTCGGTGGGTTTGGGATGGGGCCCAGGCATCTGTGTGGTTAGGAAACTCCCCCAGGTGATTCTGATGAACAGTTCAGTTTGGAAAAAAAAAAACAAACAAACACTTCAGCAAATACTCCAGCTATCTCGGGGTGGGGGCGGAGAGCAATTGAATACTGGCTCAAATCTCATTTGACCCAACCTGTCTGTCCTGCTGAGTGTCCAGGTCCAGTTTGCGCTGTCGACTCCTGTCTGCCCTGAATTAAGGGAGCCAATCCCGGACGGGGGGACCGCGGGAGAGGCCAGGAGACAGAGGGCAGAGCTGCCAAGGCCCTGGACAAGGCAGGTTTCTAGCGATGAGTACATTCCTGCCCCAGGAACCTCTGGGCTGGGCTTGGCGGGGGAGACTCTTGGTTGCAGCCCCGGAGGAAGCGGGAAGCGGGGGCGCGCGAGGCTGCACAGGCTGGCCGGGTGCCCCTGCGGCTTCTGTCCTCAACTGCCGAGGGAGCGGTTCTGTGTCTGAACTGGAGGATCTGTGGAGAGGCGCTGTCTGCCTCTGCGGCTTCCTCACTTTTTCCTTTCCGGGGCTGGTGTGTGCTGGGCTGCAGGAGGGGTGGGCACCCCTGGACCCGGCTGCCCTTCTCTGCTTGGACCCCCTGACCCCTTTCCAGCACTGGCCACACCTGGTCACACACGTCGTGTCCTCCCACACCTTGGGCGTTGCTCGCTCACCTTCTCGATGACCCCGACCACCTTGCAGCCCCTCAGCTGCTCCAGGGCAGAGCTCAGCGTGCGGATGGGCCGGAGCCTCAAGCTGCTGAAACCCTGCAACGGCAGGAGAGAACCCCGCGGTGGCCTCAGGGTCACAGCCTCCTCACCTGGCGGCAGGCAGGGCCTCAGCCTGCCAGGAGACCAGTGGCCTCAGAGGGCAGGACCGGGGTGCGGGCAGACCCCCACATCACAGAGACAGACCGAGCGGAGAAGCTGGCCTCGGTCCAGGGTGGCCAGGCCACCCTCTCAGCCTAGCCCCACCCCAGCCCTCCTTCCAAGCCCAGGGAGTCCTCAGAAACCCCCTCTTAAAAGCGCCAACCACAGGAGGCAGATGCTCCCAGGGGTGGGGAAATAACCCGGGCAACAGGCCTCAAAGACCAAGGCAGGCCCAGGTATCTGCACTGGGGGAAGCATGTTACAAGGTGCATCAGACCTAGAAGGAGTGTGTATGTGCACACCTGAGGGCTTCAGAAGTGTGCGTACATTCTCAACCCTCTCTGAGGGCCCGCTGGGTCAGGATGTGGGGAGAGGATTTGTGCACATTTGTATATGCACGTATTCACGAGCGTGTATATGCACATGGGTATTCGTGTCTGTGTATACGCATGTGGGTATTCATGTCTACTCCAAACACTCATTGCAGCCCAGCCGAAAAGTACTCTGGCAGCCTGAGTGTGTACACAGGTGAGCGTGTGTATGGGCTGTGTGTGAGGGTGAGGAGCTGCCTCTGTGTGTGGGTCTCCTCTGTGAGAGTGCTAGACTGGACTGGAGATGATTCACTAAGTGTTAGAATATGAATGAGCTATGGAGAGTGTGGGAGAGAGGGCGGAAGCCAGGAGGAGGAGGGCAGGGGGGCAGCCCCGGGACACACGCCAGCCTGCCTGTGCTCTCCACCGTCTGCCCTGCCGGGGGTGGCAAGGCGACAGCTCCCTGGCCTGGGGGGTGGGGGCCTCAGCCCTCTCCCCATGAAGCCCTCAGGCCTCTGGGGGCTCCTCACCTCATCAGGGCTGGCTCCACTGCCCAGTGTCCTCTGCAGGTGGCAATTAAAGATCTCCTCCGCCCGCCGCAGGTATTTGGTTATCTTCAGCTTGACAGCCTCACACCTCTCCTTGTTGGGGTCGACTGTGGGGAGAAGGGGTCAAGAGGACCCCGCCAGCCCTGGGAGGAGGCAGGGGTTTGGGCTCCCATTGCCCATGCTATGCCCCCTACAGGAGGGCAAGGCCTATTTCTGAGGCTGGTCAGTGGATTCTGACCCCACATCTGTTCTTGGGTCCTCTTCTGGGTGGCAGACCAGCAGGGGAGGAGGAGGAAGGATGGTGGCAGGAGAGACTAGGAGCCAGGGGGGCCCCTCGGACTACCGCACTTTACCAGTTGGCACCCACCACCTCCTGGCCACTGTCACACCCTGGGAAGGAATGGAATGGAGTTTCCCTGTCTGTTTTTTACAGAAGGAAGGAGAAGCCCCCCAGAGAACACACCTTCAGCTATCTTTGATGTCCAGTGTGAAAGAGGCCAGAACAGGCATTGGGCCTGGAGGGTAAAGGTGTTCATGGGATAGGCATGAAGCCAGCAGTTGAGAGGCAACATCAGTGCAGGGTCCAGAAGTGTGAATTGGGGCCTGACTCTTACCCCTGGGCTGGCCATTAAGGCCCTCGGGTGTCTCCAACTGGCCTCAGGGCCAGCCTCTCCCACAGCTTGGACATGCCTCCCTTTGCCCTGAACAGGCCTCCCCTCTTACCTTCAGGCCTCTGCCTGTGTTCTCTGCCTGCCCCCTCTCTCTCCCCCTCCAGGCTCTTCAGCTGGACAGCACGCCTACCATTCTTCAGTGCTCAGATTAGGGTTTTGACTTTTAGAAAATGCCCTGTGCCAGGCTTCCAGGCAAGCCTCAGTCTCCCTCTTCCCTCCCTTTACTTCCTCCACATTGTCCTCGCCAGCTGGGACTATAATTGTCCATCATCAACTCATCAATCTTCCGCCATTAGAATGCAAGTACCCAGAGGGCAGGACCCCAGCCCAGCCCCAGGGATGGGAGGGCTTAGTGGGCCAAGCTTACAGCCTCTGGAGCCCAAACTGTTCAAATCCCAGCTTTGTCACTTGATAGCTGTGGAGTCTTTTTTTTATTTTTATTTTTTAGCTGTGGAGTCTTAAGCAAGCTATTTAACTGCCCTGTGCCTCAATTTCCTCATCTGGAAAATAGGAATAAAAATCATTCTTATATATTTGGAAGTACATGCCAGAACATCCACAGTGGTTTGTATTACTGTGAATCAGAAATGAATTGATACAGGTAAAGTCCTTAGACCAGCGCCTAGTGTAAAGGAACTGCTTTATAAATGAAGGCTATTCTTATCAATACTACTGTCCTTCTCATGGGTCCTGCAGGGCCAGCGCAGAGCCCTGCTTACCCAGCACAGATGGACAGATGACAGGATGAGCCCTTCCTCAGCCCCTGCCCAGCCCCAGCCTCACCATGCATGCCTCGGAGGAGAACGTCCACGCCGTTCTGGTAGTGGTTGAAGGCGGCCTCATAGTCCTCACTGACGTCACGCTCCAGGGCCAGCCGGATCTGAGTGGCTGCGTCCACCAGGTAGTCGTGCTTAGTCATGTCAGCTGCCCCGGGAGCCACCCGGTTGCGAATCTGCTCCAGGTACACTCGAGCCTGGGACCGTGCTCGAGAGCAGGGCTCGGGCTCCGGGCCAGGGCCAGGAGGGCACTCACAGGCCACGACGCTCATGGCTGCCCTGGGTCAGGGACCTGGAATGAGCAGAGGCATTAGGAAGAACCCAGTTGGGGACAATGACCCGTCTGTACCCTGGTTTCTTCCACTAGTATTGTGGAGACTGATACTCACCTCCAAGGGCCGGAGGGATCAGAGCTAATGGGGGTAAAATCCCTCACTAAGCCAGATCTTTCCCAAGTGGTGGCCATAACACAATAAAAACATGCTTTGGGCTCTGAGTTGTTTTTACTATTCTTTCCATTCAAATTCAGTTCAACAAGTATTTCTGGAGCACCTACTATGTGCTGAGCATTGGAGAGAGCTGAAGATATTTGTGACTCAGAGCTGCCTTCAAAGGGCCTCTGTGCCCATTAAACATATGCAGGTCACCATACTTTGAGGCTGAAGCAAAAGCCCGGGGCCCAAAGGCCATTTCTTATATTGTGCCCTGTTCACCCCTCCCTCCTCCTCCCATGGAAATCTCACTTATCCTTCAGGGTTTGGCTCCATGGTACCTCCCGGAACAGGAGGGATTGCCCCTGCTTTATTTGATTTCCCTTGGTCCCAAGATCAGTGTGGCCAGGGAGTGAGGACCCCCAAGGAGCCAGGAGGAGAGCTCGGCACAGGGCTTGGCCTTAAAGACTGCAGACAAATGAAATGACTGACTGGCAGACTCAGTACCACTCTGGATGGAATTAGATGAATGAGGTCAGAGCCCAACCAGCCCTAGGGAGGGGATGGCTCTGTCCCCCTGGCTCTGCTCTGAGAAGTCCAGGAGGCCACGTGGCCTTCAAGGACCGGACAGCAGCTCCACCCTGAGCAGCAAGTGATACAAGTGGCCACCAGGGTTAGAGCAGTGGCGGAAGGAAAGGAAAGAGCTCAGAGAGAGGCCAGAAAGCTGCCTCTATCCTTCCCTGCAGCCTCTGCACCTTTGCTCTCTCAGGCCTCATTGGGAAGGGGCAGGGCCCAAACCCCAGGTCATTTCTACTTCTGTGGAGAGAGGGAAGAGAGAACAGGATGGGGAGTGGGGCCGGGAGGAAAACCCACATCGCCAAGCCAGCGGGCAGCTGAGCCCCGGCCAGGATGCGGCCAGGAGGTGGAGGAGGGGAGGAAGGGAAGCCGCGCCCTTCCCATTCGGCCCAGTCACCAGCGCATGCAGCTCGGAGGCCGGTGATCATAGGCACCCTGGTCGGCAGTGTGTGCTGCTCTGAGTCAGGGCCTAGCTTCGCGGTCCACCCGACGGGCCGGGTCCTCCCAGACAGAGCTGCAAAGCCGCATCTGGACCCAGAAAGACGTGCATCCAGCCCGCGAGTCCCCTGCACGCAAGGTGCACCGCCCCGTGAGGGTCGCCAAGGAAGGGGACTGGGGGAATGAGAGGTGAGGGCATCCTCTCCAGGGGAAGAGGGGAGGGAGGAGGAGCCAGGCTAACACCGTACCTGCCCGAGCCAGGAGCTCGGTCCGCGCGGCCGGACTCAGCCCTGCCGCCACCTACCCTTCGCCCACGCGGGGGACATAGCACCGCAGGCGGCTGCTTTCCGCCCTCCTCCCAGGTGCAGGGGTCTGGCCGGTGCAGCCAGGTCATTGGTTGAAGATGAGCTCATCCGCTATCGTTAGAATAAACCACCAATCAGCGCCCGGCTCGGCTTCTGCGGGCTCTTAAAGCCGCAGCGCCGGGAAAGCGGAGCTACGCGAGAGGGCATGGGGAGGGGATGGGGATGGGCGGGCGATGCGATGAGGATGGGGATGAGGGTGGAGATGGAGTTGGGGACGGGCGGGTGGGGTAGGAGCTGCGGAGAGTGGAGGTCCAGACTCTCTCAGGGATGCAGAAGGAGTTGCTTCGGAAGTTTAGGCCAACTAAAAGCACACACGGCACTTCTGGGACTTTTCTCATTCGTTATTTCATGCATTTATTCAACTATTTGAATATGGTTGAAGATGGTGACTGCAGCCATGAAATTAAAAGACACTTACTCCTTGGAAGAAAAGTTATGACCAACCTAGACAGCATATTAAAAAGCAGAGACATTACTTTGCCAGCAAAGGTCCGTCTAGTCAAGGCTATGGTTTTTCCAGTAGTCATGTATGGATGTGAGAGTTGAACAATAAAGAAAGCTGAGCGCCCAAGAATTGATGCTTTTGAACTGTGGTGTTGGAGAAGACTCTTGAGAGTCCCTTGGACTGCAAGGAGATCCAACCAGTCCATCGTAAAGGAAATTAGTCCTAAATATTATTGGAAGTACTGATGCTGAAGCTGAAATTCCAATACTTTGGCTGCCTGATTCAAAGATCTGACTCATTAGAAAAGACCCTGTTGCTGGGAAAGATTGAAGGTGGGAGGAGAAGGGGACAACAGAGGATGAGATAGTTGGGTGGCATCACCAACTCAATGGACATGAGTGTGAGTAAACTTTGGTAGTTGGTGATGGACAGGGAGGCCTGGCGTGCTGCGGTCCATGGGGCTGCAAGGAGTTGGACACGACTGAGCAACTGAACGGAACTGAACTGATTCAACTCTTTATTTATTTATTTATTTTTTTAGTTCTACCAGTTTATTGCTACCAACCCATCTCCCTCCACCCTCATGCACACATGCTCAGTCATGTAATCCCATGGACTTCAGCCTGCCAGACTCCTCTGTCCATGGATTTTTCCAGGCAAGAATACTGGAGTGGGTTGCCATTTCCTTCTCCGTGATTCAACTATTTAAATATTATGTATTAAAGAATACTGTGTGGGAGGAGCTAGATGGCAAGATACAGCAACTGAGTAGACAGTCTCTGCTCATATCTTTCTGGGGTTTACAGTCTAAGTGAGGGGACACAGGGATTAAAGAACTAAAGAATACTAAAGAATGATATTTCATTCCAGGTGTGAACAGAGCTTTAAGAGAGAAGCACCATAGGGGCCGTGAGACTCACAGCAAGGGGAGTGACCTAGTTTGGGGGTCAGAAGACCTTCAGGAGTGGGTGATTTCTGAACTGGACACACAGACTTCACCTGCACCCTATTGCTGCCTGGACTTATACTGTTCTTCCCTAGTACACTTGCTCCTTGCTAGATATCATTCCATTCCCTTGTGATTCCTAGCACCTTCCCCCTCTCCTCACTCTCAGCCAAAGAGCATGCTTCTTCCATCCCTCAAAAACATGGAAACACAGACTCCTGCTCTGCCTGCTGGCCAAGTCTGCATCCACATACCATCTCCCCATCTCTTTCCGTAGATGACCTGTTTGTGCTCCATCAAAGGCCAACCTTCCCCTCAGGGTCAATCTTGTGCCATCACCCACTCAAGGAACCTCTTCCAGCAATTCTCCCCTCTCTTTCCTCCACCGTTAATTTTTGGCTTCTACTGCATCCTTCTTTCCCATCTGAAACAAACATCATGCTGATTCTCGCATCTTGAAAACCATACAAAAGACATTCATGGCCTCACTTCTCCCCTCTCTACCACCCCAGGGGAGAAGAGAAATTGGAGAAGAGAAACTTCCCACTGGAGAAGAGAAACTACTTGCTGTCCCCAGTTTCTCTTCTCCCGGTCTTTCTTGAACTCTCTCTGATGAGGCTTTCTTCCCCAGCACTGGTCTGAAATAGATCTTTGTCATGTTACCATGACCTCTTGGTTGCTAAACCCAGTGGTCATTTCTCAGTCCTCATCTTACTTGACCTCTTAGGAGCCTCTGAGACTCAGGGGATCACAGCCTTCTCTCCATGTGGTTTCTCCTCAGGCTTTCAGGACCCCCACTCACTGTTGCTGCCCCTTCTGTCTCCTGTGATGGCTTCTTCTCTCCCAGATGTCTGAGGGTCCCAGGGCTCAGGTGTCCCAGATGCTTGACATCTTTGTTCTCCTTGTGCTTACTTTCTTGACGAGGGATTGCACTTCATCTCATGATTTGAAATAGTGTTATTCTATATGTTAATAATTCTGTGCATCTATTTACAGATATCGTATATCTTCTGTATCCCTTAGCCCTCACCTCTCTACTAGACTTAAGTATTTAGAAGTCTAATAAAACACCTCAAATTCAACAAGTCTGGAACCTTGAAAACAGAATGCTGAGTGAAAGAAGCCAGACATAAAAGGCCAAATGTTGTACCATTCTATCTATATATAATTTCCAGAAATAGGGAAATTCATAAAGAAAGAAAGTAGATGTCAAGGAGTGGGGAATGGGGAGTGGATAGTGGGTATAGGTCTTTTGAGGGAGTCAACGAATTTTCTGGAATTAGATAGTGTGGTGGATACACAACTCATGAATATACTGAGAAGCATCGAAGCCACATTTTAAAGAGGTGAATTTTATGATATGTTAATTATAATCAATAAAAAAAATCATCATAATGAAAAAGAAAAACAACTGAATTCTTGATCGTCCCCCACCTGAAACCTTATCCACCTAAAGCCTCTTCTGCTCTTCCAGCCCCATCCTTCCCATTGCTTAGGCCAAAGTTTTGAAGCCACGTCGGCTTATTTTCTCACACTCTACATCTAATCCATTAGAATATCATCATGGTATTTTCCTTCAAATTATACCCAGAATCTGATCACTGCTCACCATCTCCACTGCTACGACATCTTCATCTCATACCTGATTTACCGTAGTGGGATTCCTCCTGTCTTCTTGTTTCTACCCTTGCCACCCTGCAGGCAGGTTTCAACACTGCATCAGGGGATCCTTTCAAAGCACAGTAGACTCTGTACCTCTTCTGCTCACAACTCTTCCAGAGCTCAAAACTCATCAGCCCAAGAAAAACTCTTAAGTTTTTGCCATGACCTCCTAGGCCCTGGTGATCAGCCTCCTCTACTATTTCTTCAGCTTCATTGCTTGCCAGGGTAATTCACTCAGCTTCAGCTCCCTAGCTTCCTCACTGATTCTAGAATCCACACGGCAATCCCACCCTAAGGCCTTTAGCTCGCAGTTGCCCTCTGCCTGGAACAGTCTGCCTTTGGATACCTACCTAGTAATCTCTGCTTCCGTTTTGAGTCATTTCCCTGATGCCACCTCTTTGAGAGACTT